TGATTACTTTTTGATAAATAATTCGTTCTTATTGCGAAATAGGAGCACTATTTATCAATCTGTAATAAAAGACTTTTTTAAAGACAAAAATTTTTGAGGCGAAATACCCAAAAAGAAGTTTGTAAAAAAATGAATCCGCCTCAACAATATAGAACTTATCTACAAAAAAAGGTTTCATATGTCGTTGTCTGCACAGGATTGACCCGCTTCCTGGAAGAAAAAATCCAGCCCCTAATTGTTCCGGCTATTCTGGAACACGAAGAAGTTCCCGGAATGAGCGGCAAAGCGAGCGGATTTCGAAACAGATCGAACAGCATTTCCAGTCCAGCGGGAGGAGGTCCCGAAGCTAAACCCACCAGCTATTTACTGCAGGAATTGTCCAACCACTACAGGGTAAGAACGGCGCTAACCGAAAATCCTCCCCTATGAAACCAACATGCGATTTGTTGCAGGTTTTGGTCTGCTATGGAGTGGATGCGCAGATAATCTCCAACATCTTCAAGCAAGTGTTTTACTTCATTTGTGCGTCTAGCTTGAACAACTTGCTGTTGCGGAAGGAGCTGTGCCATTGGGCCAAAGGGTGTCAAATCAGGCACAATCTGTCGCACTTGGAAATGTGGATAAGGGAAAAATCTCTGGATGTAAGTCGGTGTGAACTGTTGCATTGAGCCAGTGGAAACACTGTTTGTTTTCGCATTAGGAAGGACCAATTCAAGCGACGCTTCAGCCGATAATCCAAGCAGCTCAATTGCTGCAGGCGCGTAAAACTGATACCGAAGAAGACGTAACCAGTTTATGTGAGATGTGCAACGCCCTGACGCCGCTCCAGATTTGCAAACTGTTGACTTTGTATACGCCCGCCGATGATTACGACAAAATTCCCTACTCATTCATCAGGAAAGTGCAGGAGCGACTTAAAGACCGTCACCAGGACGTTGATCAACAAGTAAGTTTCTATCGGAAAAGACCCGAATTTTTCGTTGTTGTCGACTTACCTTTCCAGACATTGCTCATGGACATCAAGCACAACTTTCCAATCAATTTCGCTTACAATCCCTCGGACATTCGTTTGGAAGAGGTTGAACTACCAAATTGCCTCAACTTGCACATGCTGGAAAAATTGTAGACCATGAGACAAATAATTTACTCGGCTTAAGACTGTAAGAAGTTCTGCCCAAAAGGCAGATTTTGGGGAGTACCAGTCATGCTTCGAAGGGCCTCTTAATGCAAGCCGGGCCCACGAAACAGGGTTTTCAAGTGCGCATTTCAATACAAACTAGTCAGTTTTATTTATAAATTTAGCTATAAAAAATTACGCAAAGTTACTCTAAACTAAGTGTTTAAATTTTAAAACCACGAATACAGCTGAAAGCCATAGCTTGTTTTTCATATATGTAAATGTGTGTATATGGGGGTTGCGCTTTTGCGGTTTTTGGTTGCTCTTTACCGGTTAAGCATCTAAAAGATTGATGTATGTTACGTACATATTTACCGAATTTTGCATTAAGGAGCGATTAAAAACCGAGCAACTTGCCCTGTCTAATCAATAATAGGAATCTCCTCGGTTCGAAACCATTAAACTTGAAACAATCCAGGAGATTCCACTAATAGCAAATAAGTAAAATGTACAGAAGTCTCGGAGGAATGTTCCTTAGTTGTTTTCTAGCACGTTACGCAAAGCAACCTTTATTAGCAATTCAATTCGAATTCCCAAGCTCTTGGATTGCGGTAGAGAAGCAAATAACCATCACATACTTTATGATATATGAATTGTTAAATATTTATTAAAAACTTACATTTCAAATAGTTCACTAGCCAGGGTTAAATCTCCAATTAAAACACAGTTAGTCGTTTGGCAAGCTACCAAGTTAACTTCCCCCAATAAAAAATGCAATAAAACTATAAGTTAATCAAACCCTGACGCAGCTAGCGAACTAACCCGTATGTGATTTAAGCTGTGCCTCCTTCTCGTTGATTTGTTGAGATATATTAGAGTAGGTTTTTTGTATATGTTGTATTATTTTGTCATTTAGAGTAAATATTTATTTAAATTTACCAGAGTTGAATGAAGTGTTTATTGTAAGAGAAATGTACTTATTGTTGAACATTCGGATCAATATTGTTAAGACTAAACAAAGCAGATATTTAATAGAGCGTTATTTCTGTATAGATATTTTATTAGGATCTAGGTATACAACAGCAAATTTACATGAATTAGTTCCATTGGCGTTCAGCTTGGATTTAACGAGTTAACTTTACTTGTGATTTGCACTGTGAGAAAGATCCACTACCTATTTACAAATGTATATTTCCGATTAGAAGATTTAGAACACTCTTCAATGGGTTTTATTCAACGTACCTGGCGAATAAAAGACCGTTCAGATATTTATTAATATATTTCTTATAAGAATACATGCATTTCATGAAACATCAACTGTAATAACACCGTTAAAAAAATGTCTACACATTAAATAATAATTTTCTTCAAACACTCCAAGCATCAGATTATTAATAAATGATATGTAACAACAGGTTTATGGTAAATTGAATTTTCTCTTGGAGCACGTACAGTTGTGCAGCAAAAAACGTGCTTACCTTATCTTAACAGGATCATCTCTACATACATTCTAAATAACGTATTTTTAAAACTCTCGACAACAAAAATGAATTTAATCAACTAAAAACAGCACGAATTTTCATCTTGACAAAGTGCCATTTTAACGTAAAAAATTTTCTTGGATTTTCGTCTTCTGCTCTTAAAATCAACACTATTTTCAACAATGAACTATTTGAAACTGGACCGAAAAACGAATCAGTTTCAATGGCCGCGAAGGTCTAATCCTCTAAAAAGGAGAAAGGCAAAAATACACTTTGGATTTAAATATACAATTACAAATATATATAACAATCCGCTATTGCACTATCAATATGGACAAGCGATAAAGTTTCTTAAACATACCTAAAAATAGGTCATCGTCGATTGGCGATTTTTGCCTGTATTTCGCCCAATCATGGGACTTTTAGTTAGTTTTCTGCTTATAATCGTCAAAATAAATATAAACAAAAACAGATAAACTGATCCATTGTTCCTTTGCTTGTCCTCAAATAATAAGCAGAATTTCCATAGTGGAATCACTGTATACACATTTTTTATTGAGCCGTGTATAGAAGGCTGATTCTCGTTGCTTATCGTCCAACAAAGACACTTCGGTGGCGGCATTAATTGCGAATTATTCTATTATCATGCAACCACTAAGCTATGATTCAATAAATAGAAGTTACACATGGAAGCACTTTGGGCGACAATTCACCCAACAGTTACCTGAGTTTCATCTGTTAAGCCTTACCTTAGCAGTATGGTTTAGAGAGGGATGGGAGAAAAACATCGATGTTCGATATTTTTAACATCGATGTTGGAAATTTGGGACATCGATAAAACATCGATGTTAGATCCTGAAATGAAAACATCGGACATTTGATGGTGATACTAGATAGAAACATTTTCTGCGAACTCTTAGTGCCAATACAAACGATACCAATAGCGGCCCATTTCCAGCTGCACCCGAAAAAAGTATTTTTTTGCAGTCGGTTGACCGAAAAATGTGGCAACTATAAGTTGAATAAATTTAGTCGATTATTTTGAAATGTTTATGCAACGGCAAACTATCAGAACATCGATGTTGTCACATATCGATGTTCTGCCTTCGATGTTTCCCTAACATCGATGGCTACCATCGATGTTATAGGATCGATGTCCCATCCGTAGTTTCGACTAATAGGCTCATTTAATGCCTTTCTTGCGCTAAAATAACTAAAGCATTTTAACCAGTAAGCAATCATAGAATATAGATACAATATTAAACACTCCGAGCACTCGTTTCTGAAGCGTCCCCTTTTCAACTCGCTTCTCCATCCAAGAAGTGCAATTTCATCATTCGACCGCTAATTATAACCATCCATTAGGAATCGAATGATAATTTTCCACTGATAGTTACTGATTTGGCGCATCCCCATCAATAGACGATTAGAACCTAATTACTCCTCAAATTTGTACTGCTTTCAACTTCTGAACCATGCAGACGCTAATTATTCATCCGCCTCTTGAGCATCAGAATATGCGACCCATTATCCTGAATAATGGTCAACGAGAACATGGCCTCTTCTTCGACATGCCGCAGCACGTCGTCGCTCAATTGAATGTGGATCGAATGAGGCCCCTCAATGTAGACGGATTTCACTTGGTCGATGTTGATTGAGACCATCGTGCAGAGCTTTTGCACCAGCTCCATGTGGTTGTGTGAGGAGAGGAATATCGCATTGAATACGGCCATATTCTCGCGACAAATGTAGAGTTTCAGTTTCGGTGCTATTGTCCTTCAAACAATTACAATTAATTGAAAATTGACTTTTTTCGACGGTTTTCAAAGCTGTGCTGGTTTTTTTTAGGTCTTGCCTGTTGTTCATTCTAGATTTTTTTGAAGAAACACTTGCCTATTTAAGAGGCGGCTTTGCGTTTAAAGCAAAGCGAGTAAAACAAGTTTGTCTGGTTAAACGTAACTTCTTCTGGTTTTGCGGATTGTGTGAGTTTTTCGTTGCCAATATTTTCAAAAATTTGAAACACAGCAGCAAGTTTTTCTGGTATACACAGATACTTACTTCAAGTGCAGGGCATTATAGAGCCGGATCCCGTCCGCTTGGCCGCATATTTGGATGAAATCCTCCTTGGACATGCGAAGCATGTCCGATCCGGAAAATTTGGCGAAAATATCCAAATATTTATCGAAACGATTAATCGTGAGCCAATGAACGGTCTCATCAGTGTTGGAGAATTGCGTCAGTTGGTTGCTGTTGTAATTCTGAAAGTCAACATTTTAACATGCTTTAGGTCATTTTCTGGTCTGCCTTGTAGATGATCGATTTTTGGCAACTTTTCTTAGCGCGATTTCTTGGGAAACGGTGTTTTTCGCCAGTTTTTATAAGAAAACAACGGGCGCCATGACGCTCACGCTGTCTATAGCAGTTTTTACAACCGAAACGTGGCTTGATTTCTTCTGGAAACTTCAATTAGAAAAAAATAGTCGAAAACCAATTTCCACAAAAACACCTCCAAGAAAAGTTTGTAAAGCAATTATCTACCAGACAAGCATATTAGCAAGCTTCCAAACGCATTCAATAGCTTCTGAATTTCTTGCGTCCAATAACGGACAAATGTACAGTTATTGTGATAAATTAGGGTTTTCAAAATTACGCAAAAAACGCAAGAGACAATAAAAATTCTAAATTAAACCAGAAATTGAAATTTCACGAAAAAAGGCACCTGACCCCGAAAAACCACCATTGTACGTTTTCAAATGCCGTCATCATAACTAACCTGGGATAAAAAATTGGGTAATTTTCTAGTTCAGTTACTCAGCGGGATTATGAAAACCCAGATGCTGACGTTATAGATTATGTCTTTACGAACACTTTTTATTAGCGATGTTTTGTGTGCAAATACATTTTCTGCCACTTTTCCACGGTTTTTATTTACACAAAATTGCCACAGAAAAAATATAGACTTCATTGACTATATAACTTAGCTTTTGGCATCAGAAATCGACAATAATGTCTTCAACTTCAACAGTGTAAAAGTTGCAAAAAAAGCATTTGCCCAAAAAATGTCCAAAGCAAAAAGTCTTCGTAACTTGGTTTTCGTGAAGGCGGCATGCAACCAAACTAGAAAATTTAGAAATTAAATAAACTATTCCAGAAACGCCAAGTTGTGACAAACGACTAAAAAACTTCAAAACTGCAACACACTTTCCGGCAAATGTTGACTGAACGAACTGAACTAAAAATCAGATACGCTTTCAAATGCAAGTAAATGGAAAAAAAGCTGACTCGTCCTGTATAAAACACTTACATCATTTCCTATACTATCATGGTTGGATGATTCGTCGCGTTTTTCCGGACTTTGCGGAGCACTGTTGAGGTTCCGTTGAGGAACGAGGGACTGTTGATTGTTATGGGAATTTTCATTGCTTGGCGAGTGTTGTGGAACTTTTAGGAACTCTGGACCACTGAAAAGACATTAATTACCTAATTGGCACAATAAAGTGTTTAATAGCGTCAATTAACTCAAATAAAACACGCGCTGAAAACTTTGATTTGCTTGTAATTGTCTGCAAGTGGTATTAATGAGTTGCACGCGAGTGACTTTAGTGCTGATGACTATTTCAATGGTGCGCTTTAAAGTGCAGTAAGTAATAAACAACCAAAACAACGAACTGGATTAAAATACTAAATTTGTTCAATTAATCATTAACTTCAAACTCATTTTAAGTCAGAGTTTAGGCCATTTTCGGGGTAAAATTAGCAAAAAAATTAAACAACAGCAAGCTGCTAATAAAAAGAAGAACGGGTTGCGGGCAAGTCTCAATATTAGAGACATTAAAAAAACGAAAAGAAAAAATCCGCAATAAACCAATTGGTTGTCGTAGATCAGAACAGATTAGCAGATAACGCTTAGAGCTGTGAGTCGCGAAAGATCGATGTTTTCTAGTGGTTTCATTTATTTCAAGTACACAAACGAATCTTAAAATAAAATTGGGTTGCAGATTGAACTGGTTCAAACCAATGGAAAGGCTGTTTATCTATCGTGGATCTGGGGATAAATTGTTCTATTGCGTCACTGAATAATGCCAGGTGGATTTTAATAATGAAGAAAACAGTCCCAGTTCTAAAAAACGTTTCAACGGAAAACAACAATTTCCTTTTATTAGTTGAGTACTTTTCTAAAAATAGCCGAGCCTCCGAGCAGACCATTAAACAATCACAATTTGAATAAGTATAATTTAAATATGCAAATTGGCCTATTTTTAGATACAAAGCATTGTTAAGTAGTTAGTGATCTTGCGTGAAGTACTAGGGGTACACTAGCTTAACAAAATTGGGGTTTTTACACAAATTTCATGCTGTCTTGTTCCGACTCAAGGCCGCACTAATTAGGTCAGACTTGTTAACGTTTAAACAAATTAACACCGATCGTTTACCCTGTACTGTGTACTTCACAATTTTTTTCGAAAAAGTGTGCCTAACACGATTGATCTGTCGACATTCATTTTAGGAATGATTTAAAGCCACCTACATATGAACCGTCCTCAAATGGTGTTTAACAACTGCAGACTTGCGTTTGATGGCCCGTTTAAGCGAAATGGCTTGATCTAGCAGGTCCATTTTGTTGCGTTGGCTGCGCAGTGCGGGATTCACCCTCATGTTCACTCTGCGCCCAATCAAGCGAGCCGCGCTCAGCTGCGCAGATCCCTCACTAAACGTGTGAAAGAACTGCGCCTGAATAACAACCCCGTAGTCGGCAATGGTCATGGTGTGAATCAGCAAATAGAGTCGGTTTTCCCGATTCATGCTGGTTATTTCAAATTGATGCTTTCGAGCTGCGACTATGACAACAGTACACGTCGCACAAATCTCTTCTCTTTACCGCCCTCAAGCGAAAATTGATGTCATCTAATGCGCTCGACTTCATATAATGGGTAAATGCACTGAAGTACTTCCTGTTGTCGCATGTTTCCAACCAAAAAATCAGCGATTTGAACGTGCACAACTTGTCGACTAAACACCATTCCTGAATAAAGGCTGATGACTGAGCGCTGAATCTTCGAACGAATAAGTTAACCATAAGTTTATAGATTCCAAACACAACACAACGCAACCGGAGAGTCTAGCAAAGTATATTGTATTCCATTTAAGTCGATCAACGATAAATCATCATCGCAACAGATCACGAATACCGTCCAGACTCGGAAGATCTTGCACCGAACGAATAGTCGAAGAATACTAAGCGCCTACGATGCAAATAACCGAAATTAATGACGCGATAAGAGCAAATGAATATCGAGAGAGCTCTGGATTGAAGCAACTAAGCAAACCTCACGCTTTGGTTGTATAGTCTCAACTGGTTGTAACCGGTTAAGCCGGGACAAGGCAGTTTGGGTCGGCAGCATTATCGACCGTGCCTCCTGCCGACAGGCCGGAATACAATTGCATTTACACAGGGTGATCAAAGTAGTTGCAAAATCTCCTCAAATTTTCATTGAACTACATTTCCGAGTCTGCAAAATGAATATCGCAAATTTGTCCCAAAAACAGTAAATTGACAACGTGATAAACGCTAAATACAAACAAAAATTCGATTTCCACATAATTCCGCAAAAGACTTGGTTTTCAACGACTTATATACGTGTTGGGTCACCGCATTGGCCCCCAAACATTCCCGATCTAAACCCACCTATTTACTGCTTAAGATGGTTTTCCGAATATCTACTTTAAATTTCAGCAAAAATCAATTCCATTAACGGCATTTTCAGAAGAAAAACTTGGATTTGAGCAGAAGAGAAGAGAACAACAGAATATGAGCTTTTTTATTTGTTAAAAGTTATTAATTAAATCAACAACTTCTGTTAGTTATAGTGTTTTGGTGGAAATTTTTGGTCACTTTTCACCCATTGAGATTCACTGCGAACGCGTCAGACAAGTTGCAGCACGGAAAACACCTTTTTTCTAATGGAACATCCAATATTTTATTTTAATTTTGAATTCTTATGAAAATTTTTAATTTTTTCGTGACACAAAATATGCAAGGATATTATTTTTGGTAGATAAAAATTCGTATTTCCATTGTGTTGATAAAGACAGGAAAGAAGAAGTTGTCTTTGAAACTACAGAAGAAACAATAATAATCGTCCAAGTTAACGTAGTTTCAAGCTCAAACATATCATTTATTTTTAGAAGCCATTAAGAAAAAATGAATTTTCCCGAAAATCATAAAGGATGGATATCGGAAGTATTTAGGAAAAATGAAATGCTTTATTATCCTGAATAAATACCACTAACAATATACGGAATGTACCATTGAAAAAAGTGAGATTTTTAAGTTTGAAAATAAGTTAAATTGAATAAATATGAATTTATTATTAGTGGTTTCTTCGGGCAAATTTCAAAATTTGCATTTACAGGCGACGGAGAAACGTTCCCTTTATCCACACCATAACAATACGAATTTTACTCGTTTAAAGCCGAAAAACTATACAATTTTCGTTCATATTTCATGTAACAAAAAGTAATTGGCACTAACATAAGAATTTTAAATAAAAATAAAATATAGGGTGTTACAAACTATTCGAGTCTAGAAAAAGTGACAAACGCCCTCGGAATACTAACAATGATAAATAAGGCGCTCTCAATTGGCCAAGTTTAGTAAGCAATTGATAACAATTGCACTAAACTGCATTAGATCATGTTCCACCAATCATTTAAGTTCTAGAGCTAAGAATAAATCGGCCCATTTTTCCAAATCAGACGCACAATTTTGCTAGTAATTTTACATTTTCTGCAAATCTAGCGCAAATGTGCTACTTTCAACCAGACAATTGAAGAATAAACCAAAGGCCATTGGATGACCTTTTACCGACAGTTTCTCTTGCTGCAATAATGCGAAAGTATTCGCATAAAAATATGAAATATTTGCATTCATCTAAAGAGTTTTCCCGAGGGCTGAGAACGATTTTTGGCCGTCGAATATGAAAAATCCCACTCACTTAAGCACTTCAGTGCCTGTACAAACTGACTTCGGCCGGTTCTTGCCGTTTTCCGTTACAGAAAGCATGCTTCAAATGGGATAATGTGCAAAGCCAATTATGGTTAGCGCTTTAAAGTCCCCCATGACAATTATTTGATTTGTTTTTGTCTATTTACGGCGTCCGACTTTGTGATCCACTGTTAACCAAATTAGGTTGACTATAAATAGCCACACGGAGTTTAATTTCAACGAAAAAAACCTATTTTTTTTAAGTAAAAGAAGAGCTTTGTAATAATCAGTTTAGATTACACGCACATGAAAAAACGTTGATTTTTCAATATCACTACACTCCAAAACGCAGTTTTCAAATTTTTACCTTTGAAACTCGATTTTTAATAAGCTAAAAATCACAAGAAGCCAAGTTAGTTTCGCTTGCGATATCGGTTCGATTTCGTTAGCAAATAGCAAATAAATCTGCGAATCGTCACGTAATGTTAAGAATCCTAAAACTGATTGTCGAAAAACTGAATACTGATGAGTCAAACTGGTTAATTCCTCTTAAACCAGATTTATCCAACGAATTGTTGAATGATTGGGTTTCGGTCTAGTCTACCTACTCCTTTCAGAATCCACACATTTAAGAAAATTGTTAACTAGCATCAACAGACGCAAATAAAACCACTAGTTAATATATGTTATGGCTTAAAAGCCATAAGATTATTTGCCAAACCCTCCACTTACATAAATAGCCGGAAAGATAACGATTCAGTAACATCTATCCTGTTAAAAGCGGTAAGAGTCACGTGTACATTTCGATAGCAATTATTGAAAAGGCAAGTTTTATTGTGTAGCAGCAGCAGCAGCAATTGCAATATAAATTATTTCTAATTAAGGATGCTTTAGTCTCTAATTTTTCTGTATTTTTCATTAGAATTGTTAAAATCAACTCGTAATATTAATGGTTTTGTAATCGAAAATAGCCCATACATTTTTCAAATTGTGAGAGAGCAGCGAAATATAAAAAAATCTAAACACTCACCTTTCTGCAGTGGAAAATGGCACAAAGGTGGCAAGTGTGGGCGCTTGTAGCACAGCTTCATTCGGAATCTGCAAAAAAACAACTGATTTTACCGCATTTTCCTTAAAAAAATCCCCTTAAATGTGCTATATTTTAGTGATTGAAACCTACATCGTTTAGTACGGTGCATTCGAAACTCGGTTGGTACTTTTCCTGTTCAGCCATTGGCCGCTTCATGATTTTATCCCTGTCTTGCTTGTGTTTTCTGTCCGCCCCTTTCAGTTTGAAAACTTTGATTTGGCACGCTGCAGCATGCAGACGCTTATTGGCGGTGAGGGCGTCTCCATTTTGGTAAGTTTCCACTTGGATGCGAAACGGCACTCCTTTCTCGCCACCGTGTTTTTTCGGAGTGAATTCAGTGCTGATGCAATTTACCTGAAAGAAATAAAAAATCAGCTTTATTTCTTATACAGATGATTAGCGTCGGTTAATTTACGCCTTTTTGCGCCTATAAAACATTGAATGGGAGGCTAATTAATGCACGATCACACCTCGCAAAAAACATAAATAGCTGCGTTATGCTTGGGTTCATATACAAATCGCCAGCTCATTTTCCTCTTAGAAAACATCTGCAAATACCCCACTATGGTTAAGATTCGACAGCTTTTAACCATCCTGGTTATTCTAGTGACTGGTAAGTACAGAAAAAATCTTCAGGAGTTTTAGACGGTCAGAATGTGGTGCACCCAAAGCAAAAAAGGATTTTCATCAGCATCTGCTTATAACAGTTTAATAATTTTTAGTCTTTGCCACTGGATTAGCGTCGCCTGCTCCACAACGAATCAACTTTGAAGTTGGGCAAAAACACATTCCTATCATCGGCATAGCCACTGGAAGGGTGGAACTGGCAGTTACAGGAGCCACAACGGTGAATAAAGAACAATTTTAACAAGAAACTTTTGAAACTCGCAATTGAAAATCGATTTTTTTATAGTTCAGTGTCTTTTAGGGCCACAAGACCAGGAAACCATGATGCTGAACTAGACAAAGAGAAGCCAATTTTGCACAAGAAAAAAATATTAATTTGTACCACAATATGTTACACTGTGTAAAAATACATGACTAAAAAAACAAAATTGAGTTTGTGTTTTCCTTTATTCGCATATTAAAACGCTCGTCTATTGCATAAAGAGTGCAACAATTTGGGTTGAATTGGCTGATTTAGGGGACAAATTAGTCATAAATACGCGTAGCTCAACAAAAAAAAACAACTAAATTTGAATGAATGGAGAATCTGTTACGTTGTTATCAAATTCGAAGCTAGTGGAGTTTTTATATAAGTTTTCTATAAAACCCGATAACATTTATTTGTACAGTGTTCAAGTGTACGTTACGTGAGTTTCGCTCAAAGTTTGCAAAAAGTTTTTGAAACATCGAAAACATCGCTCCAAAGTTCCCCCATTCAGAAAATGAACTGCAAATTTGCCGTAATTCCTCTAGTTTGTCTACTTCGAGTTATTTTTACAAACTCTATTAGTGATTCTAATCATTAAAAACGAGCGTAACAATGACATTTTTTTGAAAAGATTATAGATTTTTTCAGAAAAATATACAGTTTTAACGACGCAAACCGTCTCATAAAACATTTACGAGTACCTTTGGATAATCAGGGGCGATTAATGCAGGCTCACATCGAGAATCGTTATAAAAATGCTGGAAACATACAGAAATGGTACAGTGCTTTGAAAATGACTCCAATCAGAATGGGAAAAGTCCTGCTTGCATTCATCCTCATAGCAAGTGGTAAGTGTTTCAGTACTAATTTTAAAAGAAAAATGGGGGTTTAATTGGAATTCCCAGTGCTGGCAGCTGCGGCTTCTGCACTGCCCGCTCCACAACAAATTGACTTTAAAGTTTCACAAGCGGGAGTGCCGATTTTGGGCGTCAGCTCAGGAAAAGTGAGTTTAACCGTTACAGGAGCACCAACAGTAAGTGAATATCAGTTAAAAAATTATGTTAAATCCTATCAAAATCAATTCCTGGGCTTCAGTCATTTATTGTCTATTTATGAATTAAAATACGTTTCGGTGTTGTCCACCATCATCAGTTTCTCTAAAATAACAGATAGTAAAAAAAAATTTTTTCATTAATTTAAAAAACAATCACAGTTCGTCAACAGCTTCATCATATCACACACTAAAATACATCGAATTTATGTATTTTAGTGCTGCGCCCATTGTTAGGCACTGGTGAGTTTTCCAGGTTTTAGGCCGTCATCGAAAATTACTTGTTGACGACGGCCTAAAAGCCCAAAAAGCGCATCAGTTCAACTTATTCGCACCGAATTTTCCAACCAAGTTTCCGCAATAAAACCACTAACATTTAAAGGGAACCCGCTTGTTTCAGGAAATACGAGGGAAGAAGCCCGGCCAAAAAAGCTCGGGACAGAAAGGAAATAGATAAAAACAACGAGTTCAATCATAACGCAAAATATATCTATACTTAACGAATAGACTAGTTTTGATGAGGTTTTTGTACCCACCTTAATATAAACACCAACTTCTTTGGTGGGATCCCAAACAAAACTGACCACATTTAAGGCACTGGACGGTTGGGTGATATCGAAGGCACCATATGATAGAGGAATGTCCACTTCCAAGATGCGATCACCTGGTCTCGCTTTCTGCCATGCGTCCATCTGTTCCTTCTCCATGTATTGGAGACGTCGTTCATGGAAACAAATCCGAATAACTGACTGAAAAGAACGCAAATCATTACTGGAGTTTGCATAAAGCAAGCTATTTTCTATCAAAAGAGATACGACTTTCGAGACCATTCCTTGAAACTAATAGGTTTTTAGACCGTCGT